CCACCCATCCCACACTCCACTCTGCTCCCTGCCCCTCTGCTCCTCTCTGTTCACTTGGCTCCCTGTGGCCAGGATCGTGCTGCCCTGTGACAGCGCTCCCACCTTCTTACAGTCCAAGGGGCCTGGCAGGTGCTGGCCTCGCCCCAGTGGTCCCCGTCATGGCCAGGGCTGTGTGGCCCTTGGTCATTCTTCCTCAGATAATGATCTCCGAGTGGTTTTCTTCTCCCACATCACCCTGGCATCTGTCCCACTCATTTCCTTCCGTCAAGTTCATTTTATAACATTATGATCTGAGAAGATGCTTTGTAGTATTTTAATGATTTTGATTTATTGAGGCTTGTTTTGTGACCTTATGTGCCGTCTATTCTGGAGAAGAATGCATATTGTATTATTGTTGAGTGTAGTGTTCTACATTCCCCTGAGCTGAACTGTTTAGTTCTTCTCCATCTTTTCTTGAGTTTCTAGTCATTCTGTCCTTCATTGAAAGTGGTGTATTGAAGTCTCCTACTACTATTGCTGTGGAGTTATCTCTTTTTTTCTTCAAACTTGTTAACATTGGATTTATATATTTTACAGCTCTGTTATTGGGTATATAGATATTAATTATAGTTATAACATCTTATTCATTTTGACCCTTTGATTATTATGTGATGCCCAATGTCCTCCCTTGTCTCTTAAACATTTTTTCTTAAAAAGTCAGTTTTTCAGAAATTAATATTGTCATTCCTACTTTTCTTTTTTTATTACTGTTTGCCTGGTGTGTTTTTTTCCCACCCTTTTATTTTTTTCGTTTAACTTTGTTCTTGTACTTTGGATGTGTCTCTTACAGACAGCATATTAATGGGCCATGTTTTCTTATCCCTTCTGTTATTCTTTTTCACTTGACTCTGCGTTTAATCCATTTACATCCAGCATAATTACTGGTAGGTGTGGTAACACTGCTTTGATTTTGCTGCTCTCTTTTTTTGCAGTACTCCTGATTTATTTGTTCCATCTTCTTTGTGCTTAATTCATTTTATTTATGGCTTTTAAAATCAAGTCCCTCATGCCTATTGTATTCTTAAGTATTTGTTGTTTTGTGTTGTTGAGTCAGACCTCACTGATAGCTGACCTGCCAGTAGGTTGCAGAGGCTGGAAATAAACCGAAGAGACTGCCGGTCTTTCTCCTATGGAGCACCTGGTGAACACGCACTTCTTGGACTGGAGCTTTTGGGTTAACAGGACTGCTCTTTACTCACTAAACCACCTGGACACTCTACTAAGCATTTACAAAGCTTTTATGGTTTTCCTTTTGTTTTGTTTTGATGAGAAGGTTTATTAATACCCATAAAGGGTACCCTGTAAGTTATTGTTTTATTCCCAAGTTTAAAGCAGTTCACCTTACCTTGAAATCTCCTTGGCTTCCTCTGAATTTAGCAGTTTTGTAACTACACTTCTAATTCCCTCTGTTTGTGTTACACCTGTCTACATTTACGGACCAATGCCTCTGGTTCCCTATTTTTAGTGTCCTATGTTTGCTATACTTTGTGTATTTCTGTGTCTGGGTCAGTTTCTGAAGATATCCTCTATTTTTTCCCCCCTATTAATTTTAATGAAAGTTTAGAGAGACTTAGGGTTTCCATTAATTCGTTGTTGCACTTTCCTCTCTGCCCACCCTCTTCCCTTCAATTCACTCTTCTCCTTGAAAAGTGAAAGAAAAATTCTTTCATTGTTTTGTAATCCCTCCCCCTAAGTCCACTCCACTGTGCAGCCTTCATTCTGGACTCCTGTCATGACAATAATACCCAATCATATATTCCTTTTAAACAGTTCACCCCTTTATCTATTTAAATGCAGAATACATCGTTCCTCCCCTCATTCTCTGTCTTCCCTCAACCCTGATGTCAGTCCCATTTTACAGCAGTGGCCCTATGCAGTATTTGTCCTTTCTTGACTGAGACATTTCACTCTGCATAATGTCCTCCAGGGTCATCCATTTTGTATAATATTTCATGAGTTCCTTGTTTTTCAGTGCTGCATAGTATTTAATTGTGTGAATATATACCAGAGCTTCTCTAACCTTTCATTTGTTGATGGGTACTTGGCTTGTTTCCAGCTCTTTGCTGTTGCCAACAAAGCCGCAATAAACATGGGTGTGCATATATCTTCTTGGGTGAAGGTTATGGTTTCTTTAGGGTATATTCCCAGTAGTGGAATTGCTGGGTCGAATGGTATTTCTATTTGCAACTTTTTGAGAAAGCGCCATACAGCCTTCCATAGTGGTTGCACCATTTTACACTCCCACCAACAGTGAATGAGGGTTCCAGTTTCTCCGCAACCTCACTAGCATTTGATATTTGCTGTTCTGTTGAATTTTGCTATTTTTATTGGGGTGAGATGATCTTTCATAGGTGTTTTGAAGGTGTCCTCTTAATTTCAGGTTATTGGTAGCTCTTGGTGCAAAGAACTTCCTTTAGCCTTTAGTACGTCTTGTAGAGTTGATAAAATTTTCACAAATTGCCTTAGTTTCTGTTTATCCAGAATGTTATTTAGGAGGAATGATTTTACTGAGTATAGAATTCCTGTGGGCTTATTTTTCTTTTCTGAGTTTTATAATATTATCCCATTCCCTTCTTGCCGACATGACTTCTGATGGCCAACTAGAGGTTGTTTTTACTGGTTTTCCTCTTGAAGTAACTCTTTGTTTTCCCGGGCTACCTTTAATAGTCTCTGTCTTTGATTTTAGAAAATTTGATTATGTCTTGGTATTTTTAGTTTTTGATCAATTTGGGGTCACTAAGGCTCTTGAATGCATGTTTCCTCCTTTTTCACAATATTTGGCAAGTTTTCGTCCAACAAATCTTCATTGATTTCCCTGTACTGTTTTTGGGTCACTTCCTGTTCTGGAATTCTAATCATGTAAATTCTTTCTCTTGATACTGTCCCACAGGATTCTTATGCTTGCTTTATTTTATTTTCTCCCTTTTTCTGGTTGTTTTCTAATAAATTAGTGTTGAAAGATTTGTGTTCCATCTTACTAAGCCTGTGTTCCGTGCCTTCCATTCTGCTCTTTTATCCTTTCAGTTCTGAAATTTTAGTTTTAATGTTCTGCATTTGAACTTGCTGCTTTTTAGTTATTTCTAGTTTTCCAGTTATTTAATCTTATTTTTAAAAAATTCTTCTAGCATTTTTGTCTGTGGTTTCCCTACACTTTTTCTCAGGAGCTCTGGTGGCCTAGTGATAAGAAGCTGCACTGCAGTTCCAAAGGTACACAGTTCAAATCTACAAGCTGCTCTGCAGGAGAAGACTGGGCTGTCTCCTCCTATACTTCTGAAAACCCACTGAAGGGTCAGCTATGGATCAGTTCTGACTCAGCAACAATGGAGAGACACTTAACTATCATTCTTTTGAATTCCATACAAAGTTCCAACATCGTATCTTCCTCTGAAGAATTTTCTGGTTCTGTGTTTTGGTCACATTTTTGTTGTCTCTATATTGTCTTGTGGTTTTTGACTGGTTTAAAGTTACTTGGCTGCAAGATGCTGTGGCGATGGTGACTTTTTTTTAACTGTGCTTTAGTACATTCGATCAAGCTGCATGAGTGTTTAGCTTTGCTTTCTCACTTGCTAGTTCTTAGTGTTTTACCTCCTCTCTTCTTGTAGACTTGATAGAGGATGGAGGAGTGTGTGCAGGGCTCAGTTCCCTGTTCGAGCATTAGCGGGCCACCTGGAACTTTGGTGCCTGCAGTCTTTCATAGACCCCTTAGTCTTGTCCAGGGGTAGAGCTGCAAGAGTTATATATATATATATAGGTGTGATTAGAGACTTGCCTATTTGTTGTCAGTGAGAAGAAAAAAAAAACTGAAACAACAGCAATCAGAAAACACCCAAAACCAAGATTGGACAGTAAGAGGGAATAAAAAACCCAAGGCCCAGAGGGGTACAAAGAAGGGAGAATCAAAAGAAAAATAAAGAGGGAAAGACCAATAAAGGAAAAGGAGAAGGTTAGAGAGAAGAGAAAGCAGAAGATAAGGAGAAAAACTCCAACCAGAAAACCCCACACAAGAGCAAAATGCAAAACAAGCTAAGAAAAATCCCAGAAGCTACAGGAAATACAGCAAAAGAAAGAAGGACCGTGGAGGAAGGGGCCTGGGCACCTGCTTGGTGCTCCTGTCACTGCTGAGGGGGCTGGAGACGAGATAGCTGACCTGGGACAGTGTGTCTGCCAGTCCAACAGAGGGTTGAAATTGGGGTGCACAGCCTAGTCAGAATGTCTGCTCCTCTGCGAGATGGCGAAATCCCCAGTATGTGAGCTGGGCCAAGGGTAGTACTTCATCCAGTTTAGGGGGCAGGGGCGGTGGGACATCCAACCCCAAAGTTTCTCCTGGTCTCAGAGGATCCTGGGCTGATCCATCTGGCTAGGAATGGTCTTTGCCAGTCCAGTGATGGGTGTAGGCAAGGTACCCAATCTGAGATGACTAGTTATAATTCTTATTTTGCAGGCTACTTTTATTTATTAAGAAGGTAACCTCAGGAGATGGTTGCAGCTCAAAATTTAAAGAGCAGCTCGAGCTGACAGGATAGTCTTGGGGAGTCCTCTAGGTTCAACCAGTCTAATGAGTGACCTTTTTAAGAATTTGAGTTGTGCTTCATATATATATCTCCCATTCTGTCAGGACTCAGACCCTTTTTGAGGTCATGGTTTTCCACTGTTGTAGATTTGAACCAGTCTCTCCACCCTGGTCCTGTCCCAGTGGGTGTCATTTAGCCAGCCAGTCCTGAGAACCTGTGCTATCCATGGACACTTGTTCTAAGGGCTGTAGCTCCCCCAGCCAGAACCCTGCCTGCCTTCAGCGCTGCACGCGAATGGCCTGATTGCTAGGTCAGTCTCGTCATCATCCCTCCCTGCCTCTGGGGAGCCTGCCCACTGTGCTGTGGAGGACAGTGGGAGCTTTAGGGTCTCAGTGCACCTGGCAGGCAGGGTCATAGGAGGCTGATGTCCGCTTGCCTCTGTGTGGGCAGGAAATATGAGCTGTACAGCATGGACTGGGACCTGAAGGAGGAACTGCGGGATTGCCTGGTGGCCGCTGCACCCTATGGGGGCCCTATCGGTATGTCACTCCCCTGCTGCCCTCTGCTATGGGATCATGGGGTGAACTCGAGGTCCTCGGTTCCGTGGGTCCCTGCTGTCACGTTCTTGCTGGTGTACACCATCACCTCCTGCGCACCGTGCTGAGATACTTCTACGTCTGTTCTCCTGAGGCCTACTTCCCCCATAATGGGCCTGGGACACGTGGTCAGACAGTCTCCTCTCAAACTGCAGCGCTGCTTAGGAACCCCTGGCGGAAGGAGAAGCCAGCCAGCATGCGGCCGGTGCTGGATATCTACTCGGCTTCCAGCCTGCTACTGACCAGTATGCTGGTGAGCACCCCCAACCACCCCCAGGTCTAAGAGCTGGTCAGAGATCCCTGCATCCCCCCAACATCCTGCATACCTTCTCCTCTACAGTGGAAGAGTGGGCCTGTGGTGTCCCTGGGCTGGTCAGCTGAGGAGGAGCTGCTCTGTATCCAGGAAGATGGTGCTGTGCTGGTCTACGGGCTCCACGGTGACTTCCGGAGACACTTCAGCATGGGCAATGTAGGGAACATTGGGACTGAGGAGTGGAGATGGGGTCTCTGACTCCCGTGGCTCCCTCATCCCCTGGTCCCTCTACCCAGGAAGTACTACAGAATCGGGTTCTGGATGCCCGGGTCTTCCACACGGAGTTTGGCTCTGGGGTGGCCATCCTTACAGGGGCTCATCGCTTTACCCTCAGTGCCAACGTGGGCGACCTCAAACTCCGCCGGATGCCAGAGGTGCCAGGTGAGCCCTGACAGCCCCGAGACAGTGCTCTTTCACCCAGTGTTGTGCCCACACACTCTGGGACCCCAAGAGGCAAGTGGCCCTGGTCACTCTGAGGACACCCTTCTCATGGCTGCAGGCCTGCAGAGCGTACCCTCATGCTGGACTGTGCTGTGCCAGGAGCGAGCGGCGCACATTCTGCTGGCCATGGGGCCTGATCTGTACCTCCTGGACCACGCTGCCTGCTCTGCAGTGGTGAGGGTGCTGAGGCGGGAGGGGAGTGAGGGCAGAGGGTGGCAGTGGGGACCTCTAAATCACTGTGCCTGGTGTCCTCCCTGGCCCGGTCGCAGACACCCCCTGGCCTGGCCCCAGGAGTGAGCAGCTTTCTGCAGATGGCTGTCTCCTTTACCTACCGGCACCTGGCCCTCTTTACAGACACAGGCTACATCTGGATGGGGACAGCGTCACTCAAGGTGTGATCCTGGGACAGCACGGTAGTTCACAACGCGGGCCAAAGGCCTCTTGGGGCTAGGAGAGGGCCTTTTCAGGCAGATGGGTGACGGCTGAGATGATCTCCACCTTTTTCTAGGAGAAGCTGTGCGAGTTCAACTGTAATATCCGGGCCCCCCCAAAGCAGATGGTCTGGTGAGGACGGCTGATGGGCATGCTCTACCAGGGGAGGGAAGGGATATTGGCTTATATCCCTGGATGCTCCGCTTTACCTGTTGACCAGCTAAGCCAAGTGCAGCTTTGAGCCTGTCTTTTCCGCCAGTCCACACTTGAGGGGATTCGTTGCCCTCTGTGGACCCCAGATGCCCTGGGGAGCTGGCAGGTCAGTCATCCTGTCTTGTTCCAGAGCAAAGGAGATGTGAGCAGTGAAGTCAGAGATAAGGCAGTGGGGCCAGCTTCCCGGGTTGTGTCCAGACGTCGGGGTGTGGGGGTGTCCTACAGGTGCAGTCGTCCTCGCAGCAAGGAGCGAGCCGTCGTGGTGGCCTGGGAAAGGCGGCTGATGGTGGTGGGTGATGCACCAGAGAGCATCCAGTATCCTTGGAGAACTGCCTCCAGGGCTGGGAGGGTGGGGGGTTCCCTGCCCTCCTCGCTCTCAGGGTAGGCTTGGGAGCCTTGACTAAACCTAGATTTGTGCTGGACGAAGATTCATACTTGGTGCCTGAGCTTGACGGAGTCCGCATCTTCTCACGTAGCACCCATGAGTTCCTGCATGAGGTTCCAGGTTAGCTGCCCTGGGCAGGGACATTGGAGCAGAAGGGTATCAAGGCAGGGCTGACTCCCCTAACTTACTAATTCCCTCCTCTAGTGGCCAGTGAGGAGATCTTCAAAATTGCCTCAATGGCCCCTGGAGCACTGCTGTTGGAGGCCCAGAAGGAATATGAGGTAAAGCCCAGCCCTGGTCAGTCTTCTCGGATTCTGAGAGGTACCTCTCTTCACTTTCCCCTGCCCCCGACTCGTTCAGCCCCCTCTCCTCACTTGGATCCCTCTAGTCACAGGCAGGTGCCAGCTTTCAAGATCGAGGCAAGACCCTGACCCAGGTTGGGGAGCACTGGGTGGATTAAAGGGTTATAGGGTTTTCCAAATGATAGAGAGGGACGGGAAGCCCATATACTCCATACTCCTTGAAAAGTCTCAGGACTTAACCAGAGCACTTGTGGCTGATGTGAAGTGGCTTTGATGGGCACAGGGGAGAGATGTGGGGCTAAAGAGCTGTGGGCTGGCTTGAGCTTGTGTAGCCCTCAACTAGTTCCATTGAACCACAGTCCAAAGGGGTTAGGGCTAGATTTTGGGGTGTCCTTTGTTATGCTGTCTTATCGCTGGCACCCCTTTCTCCTCAGAAAGAGAGCCAGAAGGCAGACGAGTACCTGCGGGAAATCCAGGAGCTGGGGCAGCTGACCCAGGCTGTGCAGCAGTGCATCGAGGCAGCAGGACACGAGCACTGGCCGGACATGCAGAAGAGGCTGCTCAGGGTTGGCCTGGAGGGCCGAGGCCAGGGCTGGATCGGGGGGAGCTGAGCCCTGAGGGAGGGGAGTCCATCCTCTGTTTCCCTCTTCCCCCCTTCCAGGCAGCCTCCTTTGGAAAGTGTTTCCTCGACAGATTTCCACCTGACAGTTTTGTACGAATGTGTCAGGACCTGCGTGTGCTCAACGCTGTCAGGGACTATCACATTGGCATCCCTCTCACCTATAGCCAGTATCCTTGATTGTCCTGGAGGGGTGTGTGTGGCCAGGGGACAGGGTCAGGAGGTAGAGATGCTTCCTGCAGCCGCATGGCACACTGGGCTTCTCCCCCAGCTGGATCCTTAACTGGGTAAAATACAGATACAAGCAGCTTACCATCCAGGTGTTGCTGGACAGGTACAGCAAGCCCGAGGGAAGTGGCAGGAAGGCTGTAGGAGGGCAGACACGGTGGCCTTTGGGGAGAAGTGGTCACTGCCCATGACCCGTCTCTTGGGATTTGGGAGCCGAGGGCTCAGGCTGAGGGCATTTGGCCGTCTCTTGTCACCTCATTGCTTCTCCTGCTTGTCTGCCAGGCTTGTCTTGCGGAGGCTTTATCCTCTCGCCATCCAGATATGCGAGTATCTGCGTCTTCCTGAAGTGCAAGGCGTCAGCAGGATCCTGGCCCACTGGGCCTGCTACAAGGTGAGGATCTGGGCGGAATCCAGGGCCATTTGAGGGCTTCCAGGCCCCTGGTGAGGAATAGGAAACAGGAAGTACAGAGCTGAAGGAACAGTCCTGGTCAGGGGCCTTCGCCGGTGGTGGGTAGGAGCCAGACATATCTGACTCAGCTTCTCTCTCTCGACAGGTGCAACAGAAAGACGTGTCTGACGAGGACGTTGCTCGGGCCATTAACCAGAAACTTGGAGACACGCCTGGCGTCTCCTACTCCGACATCGCTGCACGAGCCTATGGCTGCGGGCGCACCGAGCTGGCTATTAAGGTGTGGGTGCTCAGCCCTCCACATTGCTCTGACCAAGGGGTAGAGTCCCCAGCCAGCTCCTCACCTCTGCACCTCCTCTTCTCCCCTCTGCACCTCCTCTCCTCCCCTCCCACCCTACAGCTGCTGGAGTATGAGCCACGCTCGGGGGAGCAAGTCCCCCTTCTCCTAAAGATGAAAAGGAGCAAACTGGCGCTGAGCAAGGCCATCGAGAGCGGGGACACTGACCTGGGTGAGCTGGGTGTAGATGAGGACAGGGCCGGGGCCCCCAGGTTGAGCATGGAGCCAGGCTGGAGTCTCCACCCTGTCTTGTCGTCCCACAGTGTTCACAGTGTTGCTGCACCTAAAGAACGAGCTGAACCGGGGAGACTTCTTTATGACCCTCCGGAACCAGCCCATGGCCTTGAGTTTGTACCGGCAGGTGGGTGAGCTGGGCACAGGTGGGGGTTGGAGTGACCCTGAACCCTTGAAGTGGCCTCACTGAGGGATCACCTGCTTGTGTCTCCAGTTCTGTAAGCACCAGGAGCTAGAGACGCTGAAGGACCTTTACAACCAGGATGACAATCACCAGGAGCTGGGCAGCTTCCACATCCGAGCCAGCTACACGGCTGAGGAGGTCTGGGCTCCACAGCGGTGGGACCTGTGGGCCGGGCTAGTGCGTCCTGGTCCTTCTCCAGCAGGCTGAGCCTCTGTTGGTGCATATTCTCTCTCTCTGATCTGCACTTTTTTTTAAAATTTTTTTTTTTATTTGTGTGTACCGTCAAATCAGAGCTGACTGGTACAGGAGGGAGATTTCCCCTCCTTCTCCAGCAGAGCGTTGGGTGGATTAGAACCACATACCTCTGGGATTGCAGTGCAGCTTCTTGCCACTAGGTCACCTGAGCTCCCTTGATCCTCACTCTTGAGGAGGGCATTAGTCCCAGCGGAGCTAACTGTCAGCCTGTCCTGTGACCCTCAAGCCCAGGAGTCTAGGAAATGGAGTGGGTCACGCTGTGTGTGCTGTGGGCTCAGGCCTCCCTTTTCCCCCTGCAGCGCATTGAGGGACGCGTAGCGGCTCTGCAGACAGCAGCTGACGCCTTCTACAAGGCCAAGAATGAGTTTGCAGCCAAGGTTTGACCCCCTCGTCTCTAGAAGAGTCTCCTCCTCTCCGGCCCTTCTTGCCTTCTCCTCATTCCCACCCGGCCTCCTCCTGGTTTCCAGGCCACAGAGGACCAGATGCGGCTCTTGCGGCTCCAGCGACGCCTAGAAGACGAGCTGGGAGGTCAGTTCCTAGACCTGTCATTACACGACACGGTCACCACCCTCATCCTTGGCGGCCACAACAAGCGCGCAGAGCAGCTGGCACGGGATTTCCGGATCCCCGACAAGAGGTGAGTGAGGGCCGGTGCGACTTGCAGGTGCTGGGACTGCGTGGTCCCTGTGCCACTTCTCACGGCCCAGCTTCTCCACAGGCTCTGGTGGCTGAAGCTGACGGCCCTGGCAGAGCTGGAAGACTGGGAGGAGCTAGAGAAGTTCTCCAAGAGCAAGAAGTCACCCATCGGCTACCTGGTGAGGCCGGGATCCACCCTCTGCCCCATCTCCAGCCAGAGCCGTCCTGAGGAGGGGAAAGGGGGGGTAAGAGAGGATGACCCATTCAGGGAGACACCAGCCATTCTGCCAGGTAGAGTGGAGGGATGACCCCAGAGTAAGGGAGACTGAATACTTTCCTTGACCATGTGCCGGAGGGAAGGCCATGTTCAAGGGAGGGACTCTGTGAGGCAGAGGAGGATGCTGATGGGGTTTCTGTTCTGAGGCACAGAGATTCAGAGGTGGAGGGTAGATGAGGGTAAGTACAAGAGAAGACACACACCTGGATTCAGAGGTGGAGGGTAGATGAGGGTAAGTACAAGAGAAG